TGTGATTTAAATTATCCTTTCTTGCAAATTGATTCGCAATTGTTTTGATTGGAACAGTGAAAAGGAGGGAAATTAATTAGCGCTCAAGTTATTCTAAGTAGAGCGAATTTCAATTAGAAAGTCTTCCTAAAAAATACACTGACCTTCTAAATTGACTTTACAGGGTGTCAATGCCGAAAAAAGGCTCAGAATGCTGTTAAGGGAAGATAGACTTTCACCAACAGATAGAGAGAGAGCGAAAGGGTTGAAATTTACACAAGCCGCGCAATTATTCAGATACCCAGCAGAAAAATAAATAAAACACACAGAAAAATGTGGACTTTTCACCAATTTTCCTCAGTCTTTCTCACCACCCTTTTGGCCTCTCTTTAGCACTTTTATTTTCTTTTTTTTTTGGCAATGTGCGAATGTCTTTTTGCCGAAAACCCAAACAAGAGTTCTTCGTGTCGTGAAAAATCATCTCTTTAGCACATCATTTCCAAACCACCCACACTATAGAATATTCTGGGCAAAAATGTGAAAACAGTTGGAAAATATGAGCGTCAAATTTGCATAAGATAATAAAAAAATACAGTTATTGGAGAGAAAAACCAGAAAATAACGATAGAGAGTTAGCAAGACGCATAAAAATAAACTTTCCCGCCCTGAAGAAAATGGTTTTCCAATACATTTTTCAATAACAAATTGATTATATTCCCCGCTTTCTTTTCACAAACATGCATTCTGTGCAAACATGATTTCTCAAAAATATGGTAAAATATGGATATTGTAAGCGTTTTGTATTATGCATCCCAAGTGAATTTATTGCGCGATTCAATTGGAAAATTGGTGCATTTTGCTTCGTTTATTTAAAATCACATCAACAGCCACACAAGCAAACATGCGAGCAAACACACATTATGTATAATAATAATAATAATAAAATTGTAAAGGAAATCAAATGCATTCGTCCCATTTAAATTCCGTCACATGATGATTCGCTGTATATAATAAATATTGTGTGTAAACAGAAAGCCATCAGGCACAGTAAATATCGCAATCGCCGGGAGATTGAGATTGAAGTATAAATGATGAAAATACTCTGGTGTAAACATTCATCGAGAGTTTAGTTTCAGATTCCGTTGAGATTTCTGGGAATCCCGGCAAAATTGTGTTATAAACCACTGAAATATCGTTTTTTTTACACAAAAATTCTTCTCTGGGAATTCCACAGAGAAGAGGAGAATTGCATTTTCCAATCTCGATTCGAAATCCCCAAATTGTGGGCATAATTGAGCAGGTAAGTCATCGTCAAATGAAGGAACTAAACTTCTAAGACATTTGTATGATGGAATATCAAGGATTTCTATCTATTGAACATGCATTCTTTGCATTTCAGATGCTTTTGCTGTTCATTCAGCAAAGAAAAGGCTTCAAGAACGTCTTGGCTCATTTATATTCAATATTCTTGGACAGATTTTGAGCCAAAGAAGACGATTTTCTTGCCAAATGCTTCAGTTCGTGGTTTTGAAGCACGTTTGAGGCTTCGGACATTCATAAACTTCATAAACGTCCGCTGGATATTCTTCTATGGCCAATTCCTTACCGAAAGGCGCTTCAGAGATCATCTTCGCGTCTCTGGACAATGAGAATGACCAGCAATAAAGCCCTTCAGAGTGATCACGACGCCCAAAAAGGGACGCAAAAAATACGAAAATAAACTATAAAAAGATTTGCAAAAGATCTAAGGTGGTTTCCCGGGACTTTGCGAATTTTACAGTACAAAATGATTCATTCTAGGAATAATTTTTTACCTTCTTCGAATTCTGACAAGCTCAAATATCATAAAAGAGCAATATTTGGCGTAAAATTCAAAGCAGTGAAGAATTTCTGTGTGATTTTCACGAGTAAAATATATTTTTAAAGCTGCAGAAGAGAAGTTTTGCTGGAAAATATGCAGGGATTATAAAGGAAATTAAAGAAATAAAATTTCCCTCTTATTTCCATCTCACACAACGTCTTATTGCACGCCTGACTAGACGGGCGAAAAAGTGAAAGGCTGTCGAAGAAGGGGAGGAAAAAATCCACCGCAAACAACCCATAAAGACGAGACGAGTTAAATTCCACTATATCGATGCCATCTAATACCCTTTCCTCTATTTTAATTCACCCCCACGGCTCTCGATGTCTCAGGCCGTGTGGGGCTGGAAGAGTAAGGAAAAATGTGTGAAAAACCAAAAGTTGACAAGCCCCAAACCACAGGAGAGGATGTAAAAAAGGATGAAAACATTTTGTGAATAGATTAAATGGGAAGGGGTGAATAGGAGGCGAATTCCGATGAAATTGCACAGTGAAGAGATTTAACTCGTATCTCTCCTTTCCTCGCCAATCGTCCTCGTCCGCTGGGTATGAGCATCAAGGAGCTCTCCTGCATACCAATGCCTCATATCAACACCCCCAACATTGCCCCCCGACGCGGACCAGCGTCGACTCCCGCGTCGTTCTGTGGCCGGGAAGTGACTGAAGGGGCGCGACATGATGGCTGAGAATCATCATCTTCGCGCACATTTCCCCACCACATCCCCACCCGTGCGCCCTTCCCCACTCAGCGCCAGACAGAGACAGCGAATCTTCCAGCGGGGAGGCATTTTCCACGCAACGATGGTTGGGCGAGACTGCTTTTCACCGTGAATTCTTTTCACTTTCCTCCATAGTGCGCATTTAACTATTTGCTCTCCATTGAAAAATTCATAATTACCACTGGTTTCAGCCAACACGGACAGCTTTCAGCGTCCCCAAAGCTTCCCAAGGAAAATAGGTCATATCATTTTTGCATTTATTCTCCTCGCAATTTCCCAAGTCTTTATGTATTGTTTGAGGTGGAAAAAAGTAGGGAGAATAGAACAGTGCACATAAATAATACAAGGCATTGTCAGAAAAGAGTTTCTCTCCATCCAAATAATCGCGGCGTGAAAGAGTTTTCGCAATAATATCTTGTTCAAGTAAGAGAGACAATTTTTCATATCGCTTCCCATCAAAACCTCGTCGAAATTCAACGTTTGCAAGATTTTAATTAATAAATAATAAGCGGAAGTGTTGAAAAACTTGCATTATTCTTTTCAAGACTGCTTCTTTATAGGTTATGTAACAAATCAAGAATAGATTTAGTGAATAATTCTTTAATATTTGACAGAATTATGCATTTACATGCAAACACAGTCCTATTCTGAACCTTTTATGCCAAAAAACGCTGCAAATTTGTGTTTTGGTTGAACATAACCTCAAAAATAGTCATTTGGATTTAGAAAATTATTATTTAAACTACTTTCTGCAGGATTTTGACTCTAAATGAGTAATTTTGAGGTTAATGAGTCTTTAAAGATCTTTTAGAAATATTTTTGAGGTTATGGTCGAAAAAGAGGATGAAAAAAGCGTTTTTAAATGGATTTTGGTAAAATTAACGGATGGAAACTTAAGAGATTCATTTGATTCATTACAATTTAAGTATTAATGTGGAAAAAGACTACAAATTTCAATTTTTACAAGTGTTTTGACAAGAATAAAATCACTTTTTAACAGAAATGAATTCAAAAAATCGTTTGAGAATTGTCAAAAGATCCAAGAAATAACTTTATTTCATCTATAAAAACTGTCTTTAAGACTAATGTCTGGAAGCCTTGATTGTTTGTAAATAAACTGAAATTTTCTACTAGTCAAAACCATAAATAAAAGTTCTCCTTTTCCTTCATAAACTCATAATTCAGTTCCAACACTGTAAAATCTACACAACGATAAACTATCAGAAGAAGTCCCATAAAAAATTCCGCCGCAGATAAAATACTGGCGGGACTAAAAATAGAACTTCAGGGAGCTTTTAGAGTGTTTGATGGGAAAACTTTTAATGTTCATGTGTCTTGATTAAAAACCACTTGTCAGTGGTGGGAAAAAAAATTCAATTTCACCAAAAAAAAACCAAGAGTCAGAGAGAGAGAGAGTGAGAAAGAAAGGCAGAAAAAGGACTTTATGTGCGCTTCTCCTGCTCCACATTTTCCACAGACTCTCTCAGGGTCGAAAATTTTCTTCACTCCCGCGAAACATATATAAAAAGGAAACCATTGAATAATATGGAAAAGTTGAGCTGCGAGGCAGAAACATTTTCCCAGACAGTAATTTTCCATTTCGAATTTCGTACATCAAAACCAGGAGGAGAAAAAGGATACGGCCAGATGAATTTTTAATCTATTGCGCGCGAATTACATGAAAATTGAATTATTATCTTCTAGGAGGAGATTATTTCAATAATTCATACTTGACATTAATATCAAATCAACTCACTCTTGTCAAAATTATTTTCCGTCAATCTAATTGAGAATAATTACAGCTTCGCCATTATACACTCGAATATACTTTTATGCAAATGGCTTTTCCGCGCAATTACGCCAATTTTCTCAACTGAATACTTTATGTGCGACTTACATTATTATAGTGACATTAAGGATAATTCAATTTGCAGTGGCAATGTTGAGTGGCAACATTGTATATCGCGCAATGCTTTATCTTATCAGCTTTCTGGTCGAATTTGTAGTAGAAATAGTGCAGAATTTTTTCTTTCACTCCTCCAACTTTAATAATAAATCACTTTTAGTTTGGCTCACCGAGTGAAAATGCCAGCAAAAAGGCGACTCAGTGGCTTTAGTGCTAAATAATTCGCATCTCTTGAGATGCGCTATTCAGCAAAGTTTAGGCCACATTTGCTTGAATTTATGCTGTGAATATAGCGTGCAAGTGACTACCAATATAATTGATATCCCCCCAAAATACATCCACAACAGGATGGAAGTTTGCGCAAGCAACAGGAAATGTGTTTGTGGACTTGGAATTTATCGTCACAATAGAAGGTACATATACACTTCCGACAGTGTTCAAACGGAGGGTGGGAAAAGTGCAGCACGGTTGAGAAAAATTTGAACAGCGGCCAGAAAATTGCTTTCACTGGATTTTTTTTCAATTCACAAACTTACCCATATCGTCAATTATTGGGGCCATGCGAAGGGTGACACCCACCAACAGGAGGCACATTACCAAGAGAAGACAGGCCGTTGCAATTATCGTCCATCTCGCCCTCTTTGGAAGGTCGTCCGGATCAATCACCTTTGCCAGGAAAGACAGAGAAGGACAGGCGTTGAAATTCAAGGAAGCAAAAATAGATACTCAGGGACGATGCGATATTCCATTCAAATCTAATCAATTTTCCAACTGTTTTGATGGAATTGAGTTTCAATCAACACCAAAACACCAAAACCATCCCATCATCATATCAAATGAGTCCAAGGGGTTGCTAATGTTGGAGATTCAGTTACAAATATTTACAAAATTTGTCGATATTCGCGAATGGTCGGATTTAATTGTAATTTAGACTTTTTTAAAGGCACAGAAGAAGCCATAAAGAACTTGAATTCCGTGCAAATGCTTCAAATTTTCATGCCGACAAGGAAATGAAACGGCTTTAAAGATATTAAAGAGTTGAATTAAGTGTGAATTCATCAATGTTTATCCCAAATTAGTGATTATGATGAGCTTAGAATGTTTTATTCCTGTGAAAAATGAGAGTTATAATGTTGAATTTTAATTTAAAAAGCCTTTCCTTGATTAATATTCAATATATTTCGGGCTAATTCGATATTATGTTTCCGAAATCGTCTAGTTAGATTAGATAGAAAGGCTTGTTTCTCTCTTTCTTGATCAGGATCACGCCAGGAAGTCAAAAAGTGTGGAAATTTGTGAAAGGAGAAGGAAAAGGACGTGAAAATACGATATTAGCAGCTTCCCAAGTGAGTATTGTGGAAAACAAGGTGAAAAATGACATTTTGAGCTTTAAAAAGAGTTCTTAGACGAAGATTCAAAACCCAAGGATGGACATTAAAGCGTTAAAGAAAATTCCAGGAAAGGTTCTATAGGAAAATAGATAAATTAAGGCGTGGAAAAAATTATTTATCAAGTCTTTTGATGGCAAATGCAAAAATTGAGAAGTGTTTTGAGGGATATAAAAATTTTCAGCACAGATTTAGTGGAAAATTGCGGTAAGAAAATAATATTGATTGGCAGTTTAATCTGGAAATGATCTGGAATCAATCTGGAAATGATTCTGTGACACTCAAAACCAACATTAGCAACCCTTTGAATGAGTCTCACTGAAATTTCATCATCCCAAAGGATTCCAAGGAGGGAAAATGACTTACTTTCACAATCTGTTCATCGATATCGTGCACCAAAATCTTTCTCCGTTTGTGTCTTTTCTTCTTGCAGTGCTTGTGATGTCTGTGAAACAGTTAGAAGAAGACATATTAATCTTGTCGCACGCACACGAGATTTCATTAAACTCCTGCATAATCGAGTCGAAATTCATGAGGTCACTCTCATTAATCTATCATTCACATTCACTCAATCTTTTCTATCTCTCCACGCTCTATTTCCTCCCTCACTTCGTCACTTCCCTCGCTCAATTCACTCCAACTTGAGCTTGTGGAGCAATTTCAGCATGAGAAAACACCGTTTCTCAACGATTTTCGATCGATTTCACTACATTTTTTATACATTTCGTATGTTATTCTTTCATGCTTGTGTGAATTGTATCAAAATTGCCTTTTTTACACTTTTTCCTACTCAAATTGAGAATCTCCAGTACTTAAGCTACTAATTTATCTATATTATGCATTAAAATCATCGTAAATTCAGCTCTCCAACATCGTTGACTCTAGTTTGCCTCTGCACAAACCCACAAATTACCATTGCTGCATGCCTTTCGTGGGCATCAACTCACTTGTGCTTGTGCCTGCGTTGCCCTGGAATGACAGCCTCGACGTCTCCACTCCTCTCCGGATCGATTTGCAGCGAGACATCGTAGATAAAGTCCTCATCGTACGGGAGATCTCTGCAAGCACAACACTGTGATTAGTTGTTCGACATTGCAACAGATGATGGTCATTACATGGGCTGGTTGGGTGGCCGACTCAGGATGCAGTGCTGGAGGCCACTGGTAGACGGATACACGAGAACGGGATCTGACAGTCGATGCGCAATCCCTGGAAGAGACAGAAGAAATGGTTAATAATGACTTTGGCTGGGCGTTGGCGGAGTTCTTACTGTGCCAGGACTTCTTCTTCTTGGCCGCCTCCTCGTCCACAGTCTCGCCCACGAGTGAGGATTCGGCAGCATCGTCCTGTCGGGCTCTTCCGGGTGACATGCGATGCATCTTAATCATATCACATGGAGTCTTTGATTTGGCAGTCGCCATCACAGGCAGGTGTGACGTCGTTAATTGATTAAAACTACTCACGAACCCCTGCGACAGGGGATTTGTCGCCTGGTAATTGACTGAGGCCTCGTGGCGCACCTTTCTGGGCGCTTCCGCCACGGCCGGCGGCGCAGAGTGCCGCGACTCGAGGCTGAGATCCGGCGAGTCCGAGGGCTGGTGACGCGCCAGAATTGGACTGCACTGAGCACTGATGGACTTCGCCTCGAGGATGCGCAGCCGATGGCGCTCCTGCTCCAGCAGCAGGCTCGCCTCTCGCAGATTGTACTTCCGCTTCGCCTTCGCCGGCTTCACTTCCATCGTTGTCTCCACGACGTCCTCCTTGAAGCGCGCTCTCGCCTGTCGCCGCGGCGGCTTCGTCCTGAAGATCACATCGTCACTCTGGCTCAGCTTCCCGTCCTCCGCCACTGCAGCCGCCGCCTCGCCCGTCCGGCACATGTCGCTCCGGATGCTGACGACATCAAACTGCTCCAGCTCCACGCCACTCCCGGACGCCTCGGTCTCCGGCCGATTGAGCGTCCGCGGGGAGTCGCTCTCATTCACCTCTGCCTTCACCTCCTGCACACTCGCCACCTGCTCCTGCTCCGGCTCAGCAGCGTCGCCCACCTCCACGTCCGCCTCGGCGGGCTTGCTGAAGAGGCGCCGCAGCGCGAAGCGGCGCTTCTTGGCCTTCTTCAGCTGCGCCTTCTCCTCGCATTCCCTCTTGATGGCCACAATCTTGTTCTCCACGAGCGTCGTGAACACCGCCTCGAACTTGATGGCGCGGCTGAGATCCTCCAGGACGTCGCTGGTACAGACAGCCTTGTCGACCTTCATCTTAGCGCCATCCTCCTCGCAATCCTCACTCGACACTCATCTCAGCAATCCCTTCCGTCCCTCTTCGCCTGAGATCTGCAAAGGAAAAAGACGCCACATGATATCAATTGTGTCCACAGAGATTTCGTTATTAAAACTACACAGTATCACTGTGCATTACTTCCTTTCCATTAAATAAGTACCGAAGAAACTCAAATATGTGCTCAAGAAAGTGCGATGTTGGCAAGCAATAAAAAAGCACCCAACCAGCTGACACAAAAGAGGAGCTTTTTATCTCGCGAATTTCAAAAAAGTGGAAAGAAAGAGAAATGTGAATATCTCACTCGAGCGGACACGCGAAGAGCCTTGGGAGGAAGTGATGTGGAAATGATTAAATGCATACAGAGAAATTCTCTCTCTTCTGGGGAATGGAATGCAGTGCGAGAAGGTGGAATAAATCAATCAAGATATTGAAATTCTTTTGGTTGATTGCCATTTTGCAGAATATCCATCGATATGCGCCATCAATTCGCCACACACATACACAGAGATTAATGGGAATTCCCAGAGTGATTTTGAAAAATTACTCCACATCGTCGTCACCTTGAGAAAATGTATCTTCTTCGCAATTTGCACTATAAATTTTCTTCCAACATTGCCAAAGTGTGACTAGACAAAAGCCACGGATTTGGAATGGCTTAAATTCTCCCACTTAAGAAATAATGCACAGTATTAATGCTTTGATACACGTGTACTTAAGAGCTAATTTAGGATGTTATTAGGGAAGATGCATACGTACATCACATAATCTCAGATTATAACATTCCATAATCTCGCTTCTTGTTGAAATTTCCAACGTATGAAGTTTCAAAATGAATACTTAATTCGTGAATAGTTTGACAAACCGTGATGCAAAATTCTACACTGAGACAAATACATGGCAATTTTTACAAATTCATATGAGAATATCTTCAGGATTCTCAGCCTAAAAACGTCATTATTGTCATTTTTTCTTGATTTTCATGTGCATTTACCGACTTCTCGTGCCTTCACGTTTCAGACGTCAACGTTTGAAACGCTTCAAGTCTCGCAGAAGATAAATTCTCTACATTGTAGTAAATATTACAAATCATAATATTGCAACACCTTTTTTACGAAAGCAATGTGAAAATCAGGAAAATTTTGGGTTTTATTGCAAATTGTCATACAGTTTTGTCAGTGTAATACTCAATTCTTCTTTTAACACTTTATATTGGCAAATTACTCTTTGACAGCTTTATTCTTATGCAAAACTTCAGTCAATAGTATTGGCTGGATTAAGCTGTCGTCGCTCTGGCAGAATCGCCGCGTCAATTCAGTGCATCAATGGACTGGAAGTTTGAAAGCTCTCCAAGGGGATAATTCCGAGTGTGAAAATGGCGCAGAAAGAGAGCATCACGAGTGTCCCAAGTGAATGGAGAGTTGTGGGTATTCCAGCTCTTGTGCTAGGAAGTGCCTTTTAAAATGCATAGCGACACTGGGCGCGCAGAGGAAAATGGGAACAGAGGGAAGTTGGAGTTGGTGCGCCATTGAGAGTGTCATGTGAATTGCAAATGCGGATGCGGGAGGTCCTCTGAATGCAGGCAAATGATGTGGCAAGAGCGCCACTGTCGCACAGGACAAAGACACGGCGTAAATCCTTCCTTTGATGTCACAACTCTTGCGATGGCAGAAAAGTTCTCCTCGTGCAAAGCTTTGATTTTCACCGCATAGAAATTCATTCACTTTCTGACCAACTAAGACACTTTTTTTCTCTCTCTCTCTCATCCCTTTTTTTCCTCACCCCCCACAAATGTGGTTGAAGGTTTGGGGAGGAAAAATAACGACTAACGGCCGTAGAGAAACATTTTCATTTCCCACCTTTGCCATTGTATTTTCCATCACTTCTAGACCTTGGCAAAAATGCTGTGAGGTAAAAACCTTGACAGACTTGATATTACAATAACCACTCTTCACTCTCTCTCTATATATAACATTAAATTTCCCCAAACAAGTTCGCTGGACTTTCAGTCACGAAAGGTTTAAAATTGTTATGAGGCGGTTGAAAGGCTGGGCGGAAGGCCCACAATTTTATTTATGATGGGTCAGTTGGCAAGTGGAATAACAATATATTTTTGCTGGGAAAAGCGCGCTGGGAAACATTTTTAAACGCTTTTCACCATCAGTGCAGATTAGAGAATTTGAGACGCTTTGATTGTATAGTTTAATTCCATTCCAAATAAACATGATTGATGCAAATTATTCCAAATTGAATTGCACTCCAATCAATGCTAAAGCGATGCTTTGCAATGACTATGATTGATATGCAATTATCGCATATAATTGATTACAATTCCTCCCAATTGATGTACGAAGAAAATGGTCACAAGATATTTGAAATCATCAGTATTATATATATCGACGGGTTCCTAGAAAACTATCAAATGTTGACTTTCAATGATATTTGATGGAATTGAAGGAAAAATATTAAAGAAAATTCATACAAAAGGATATTTTTCTGTGCTTTTTAAAAATTGTTTTCCGCCCTTAAATCCATTTAAATTCATAAATCTGAAAATTTAAGAAAATCTGAAAGAAAAAACTTGAAAAGATGCTTTTTATGAACTGTTTAGAAAAAAAGTACAAAGAAAACTTTCAAAAACCGACTTTTTATAATAATTATCGTGACTTTGTCTAACGAATTGTTCAAGATTTAGTTATTAGTTCAACATTTTTCTATAACTAACCAATGAAATCAACTGGAAGTTACAGAAAATAATTCGAAGACTTTAAACGAGAAAATATGGCATATTCTTAATTTTTCAATACAGAACTTTCAAAAAATGAATTTAAATTATTTAAAATTGATTTCATATAATTTGTCTGAATAAAAAGTACTGAAAACCTATTTAAAATCGACTTTTAAACACTAATATTATCCGTTTATCCATAAATTTTGCTATATTTCAGTTAAAATTCCAATAAATACCAATGAATTTTACCAAAATATTCACAAAATAATTATTATAAGGCAATAATTAATATTTTTCAAACAATTAGCGGGTGTTTGAGTTAAAATTCGGCAAATTTCACAACGAAATTACAGCTAAATTTTGACTTTTCATAGTTTTCTATTCACCCGTCGATTTGCATGACGAAAATTTAACATGATTATTAACAAAATTCCGCACGCAGAGGCACTCAAGAGTTCCAACAGACAGGATAATCTTTGGCGTGCTTCGCAAGGATGATTGACTCACAATGTTACCGGAGTTCCTGGAAAAGTTGTGAGTAAGAATTCCTCTGTGGAATTTTAAGTGCGTGCCAGAAGTTTCTTGGTATTCACGAAGGAGTTTCTTGCATTGTTGTCAATCTTACGTTGGAGGAATTTTTTATTTTGCAATGACAGAAATTCCTCCACTCTCGGGAGGAAGTCCTGAGAATAGTGTGTGTGTCACACTTTTATGAGATATTAAATTGTGTAAGAAAAAGCTCATGTTATGTGCAAAAGATCAGAGATACGGATAATTCAGAAGGAATCATTTTCCATAGAAGTCTTCGCGCGCGCATTTCATGTCGGAATATGAGGAGTTTTACTGCGTGAAATTAATATTTCAATTGGGCCATAAAGGAATTCCCTTTTTTCCGTGTGTTTGTGTGTGAATTTCAACCTCCACGATTGCTGCTCACCCAGCGTTAATATTGCAAATCATAGTGAGAGGGAAATGATTTTTCCCTTCACTGGGGAATTTTCTTCAATTTTCTGTAATTTTATAGTCGATTTTTCTCCTCCACTGTTCTGACGGATATCCAAGGGCTGTATTTTGTTGCCAAGTAAAAAAAATATAAACGTGTGTAAACACACGTGAGAAGGAATGAAGTTATATTGGTTGGAAAATCGCTTGGGACATTTTATTGTCCCTACTTGAAAAATCAATCCGCAAAATGGTGTATTTATTCAATTCTCTTGCCTGTTATTACCCAAATGTTTTACATATTTCTCGCATGACGATCGCCTTTAGTGCTCCTTCAGGCTTTATCCTGACACGTACACTCTTGCTATCTCCATGTATTTATATTTATACGCAATAAACCAGTGAGAACAACTTCTTCGGAAACTTTCAGCATAACATATCACACAGTAATTAAAGCCAAATTAAGAATCTCCTCGAGTTTCACAACTCAATTCGCAGTTTTAACTATAAAAATAGGACCAAAAACAATGCTCAAAAGTATTCCATAAAGTATTTAATGAAATTTGTCCCTCTTCAAAGCTTTTCCGCCCAAATTCTGCAGTAGTTTTACTCAGAATCCATATCGACGGGTGCCTTGAAAACTAGTAAAAGCCAAAATCGCCAATATTCAGTGGATCGATTTCAAGTTTGAGATTTGAAATCGCTTTGTAATTTCCCTAATTCTTCCTGTAACTCAATTTTATCTTCCATTAAATTAATAATAACGATTAATTAATATAATTTTCTAGACCTCCCAGTCGATTTCATTGCTTATTTATGGAAATATTAAATGAATTTTGGAGAGTTGATGGAAAAATTCACGATATTAAGTATAAAAAGTCGATTTTAGTTCGTAAAAAGCAACTTTTCACATTTTTCCTGTATATTTTCTTAATATTTTATAAGATCTATAAAAGCAAAGATGAAATTTTTGCTGAGAATTAGGATTATGTGACTCGCTTTTTAACATTGTAATTCACAATTCGACTGATTTTTCATGTAATTTCATTGATTTTATTCAGAATTTTGAATTATTCACAAAATATTATTTTAATACTTGATATTTTGTGATTTTAAGTGGATTTAATGATTCAAAGCAACTAAATGGGCCCAAGAAAAATATGAATTCGAATGAATTTCTGAATTAATTGCAAATAAACGTAATTAAAAATCAAGTTGATTTAATATTTCTTCTCTAATTTTATCAAATATCGAATTACATGCTAAAAAGTCGTGTTTTCTGATTTCTGATCTGATTTCTTTCGTTCCTTGCTAATGTACTTCAGCCTAAAATTCACAGACGTTGCGGACGACTTCAAGATCACGCCAAAATACATAAGACGT